AAAGAATCCTGGGGGAAAATGTATCATGGCTTACATAAAAATATAAGAAATGTTTCTTGAGCCCCAAATCCGCATATTAGAATGATTTCTGAAGGATCATGTTGCACTGAACTGGAATAAAAATTTTCCATTGCCATCACAGGAATAAATAGCATTTTAAAATATATTAAAATAAAAAACAGTTATTTTAAATTGTAATAATATTACTGTTTTTACTGATTTATTGATTTTACTGATATTAGGTCAAATAAATGCCTTGGTGATTATTGGATAGAAAAATATATTTTGAAGAAAATATTTGGTAGAAAAAGACATGCTGTTAACTCAATATATAGTAATATTTTCAGAAAATATTTTAATAATTTGCTTTGGCTTTAGAACAATGACAACATAAAATACATTTATTTAATTTTATGTTATCTTTATAATATAATGCTTCCTATTTTTCACAGGCAGTATAAAAACAAACATATTATTACTACAATATTACATTCACCATAAATACATTACATACATAAATAAACAAATAAATGCTATTTAAATTAAACAACATAAATAAATCAGGGGGTATTACCGTCTTCTCCAGTTATTCTGTTCAGTGGCAACACGATACCTAAACTGGGGTGATAAAGATTAGTTTGGGGCCCATCACAGCATCTCATTCGGTAGTGCTATCACAGGCTGTAAAACTGTGATTCATGCACTTCAATCTAGCAACCATGCAGTCACTACACAATGCGGCCCCTAATAATAAGCCCTTTGTCAGCTGACTCTCAAATCACACTGAGAGCAAACAGGCGGTACTGGTTCATCTTATAACTAGGGGCCTCTCTGTTTCCCAGAATGCACCAGCAGGCTGCTTCCCGAAGGACCACAATAGATGTGACCTAATGCTGACTTTGCTTAGATAGATAAAACATTCACAAACCACTCATTTGGAAACAAGCTATTGATATGCAAAGCTCTATCAGAGGCTGAAATCAACATACTTTGCGTGTTCCGTTCCCTTTAAAACATCGTAAATAGGCTGCAATAAAATTCAAACATGCTGTTCACGGAAAATAACCTTGCATTCAAGGAGAACACAATTCCTGGAGACTCCTAGTGTATTTTACTAGTAATGATGAAAAGAATTGTGGACAGATTTCTCAGAAATGGTTCATTCACCTGTAGTCCTGCACTACTCTTGTGAACACACACCTTGAAGTACAGAACGTTTCTTAAAGTCAATGAACTTTGCCAAGGTCTTAGGTCACTGATGTGATCAAAAATACAAAATTTTATATTTTGAGTGATTTAAAGAAAAAAATGAGCACAGTAAGGAGGAAAATGGCAAGAGCAAAGATCAGAGACACTTATTCTTGTGTCAATTCGAAATTCAACCTTGAAATGTAGAGGTCACTGTCTGGTGTGTGGCGTGTTCTTGTGTACTCAGCATGCATCTTTGTGTTGTTGTACAGGTATGAGTGTAAGGCAATGAAAACTTGATGACAGCTTGGAAATGAGCCATTATCAGGCAGGATTCCGGCTTTCACCTTTCCTGTACTACTGACTTGTCTTATGACTGGACACAAAGAACAATGGAGTAAGGAGGTGAGCAGAGGAAGGAGGGAGGACAGAAAGGAGGAAAGAGGAGGGAACAAGCAGGTCGTGGAGTATGTAAGGTCAGCAGAGTCAGGTTTCCTGGTTGAGCTGAAATCTGCTCTATAACCATTAACGCAAGTGACTCAGGCGTCCAGTTTGCTCCCACTGTTAACCACAGAGGTTACCAAAGAGGTCACAAAGGTCAATTCCCAGGGTCCAGTGAATCTCAATAATGCTATTTGTGTTTGTTGTTGTTGTTTTCGTTTTTTGAAACATTATCATTGTCCAGGCAGAGGTCGTTGTCAATTTTTTGTGGAAGTGGAAGCCACTTACACTTCAGAAGTCTATGTGTTTATGCAAGTGTTCACACATTGAAGTGGTTAGGGGTGTATTTTTAATAGCTAACCTAGACACTCAGAGTTGTAAGAGGATATATACTCCTGCAGAAAGAATGGGATGGTGGTATTTACACTGACTTATACCACAGTAGGAGTTTGGAAAGGTCCTGTTTTCTGTTCAGCCATTAAGATATTTTTGTCCTCCTGAACAACAGAGGAAAAAGAGGCAGGATCAACCTGTGCTCAGCTAGCTGATGGGGTTAAAGCATGCATGGTTACTTTAAAGGGATAGTTCACATTCTGTCATTGTTTACTCACCCTCATGGCATTCCATACTGTAGCTATTTTTTCTTACATGGAACACATAAAAAGAAGTTATGCTTTTCATAGCACTGTAAAAAAAAAAATTCTGTTAAATTTACGATAAAAACGTGCAGGCGTGGTTGCCAGAAATTCACAGTAAAATTATTTAAAGTCTTATGGAGTGGCATACTGGTGCCTATATATTTTACAGTTTATAACTGTATATTTCATCAAGTGATATTAATATGCCTATCTGCTTGAAGTACCAAAATCATGAACATTTAGTAATAGCCACCATAATAATACAAGAGGTAAAACAGAAAGCCACATTATGAATCATTGTAAGTTCATTGTAACTGTCTATAAAACATGGACAATAATCATATATAGATGCGCACAAGGGCATACAAACAAAGACACCATCGCGGCAACACATATGTACTTTACTGATAACAAAAATAAGAAGAAAAACATAAATCTGACAGTATTTTAAAGTAAAATTACATGTGATGTTAAACAATTTACAATTATTCACCACGTAATTTTCGACGTAACGTACTGTACAGTTTACCAAGTAACAGGATTTTACTGTAACGTTTTTTACACTTCAAGAACTTACATGTTTATTTTCATCTATATTTATCTGAATGTATTTTCACCTCAAATATTTAACAAAAAGTTCAAATTGCTCCAATCATCCATGGGCTCATCAATTTTTTAGTTTTTTTCTTCTTCTTAATATTCTGAAGTTTATGGCATAATAAAAAGAGGGACAGAAAGTTCCTTTTTGCTTTTTAAATTCCTTTCAGAACCTGCATTTCAATTTACAGTACACAAAAGCAAATTCACTAAATGTTAGCCTAACTTCTTCTGAAACATGCTATTGGCTAAATCTGTTTGTCTTAAGTAAACCCTCTCAGTGTGCATTTTTAAAGAGCTTTCATTGGATTTAGCATCTGTTTATTCTCTCCTGCTCTTAAATGTGGCGTCTCATCGTATTTATCCCATAACTACAGCTGAGCGTAGGTTCCAAAACCCATCACCACGCTAACAAAGTTTTATTCTCGTTCCTGCAAACAACCATAATTACAACATTGCCATTCAAACAGAATTTGGCTATTGATAATGCATGTATGTAAGCCTGCATAATTGAAACTCAAAAAAGAAGAAAGCGGAAGAAAACGGCAGAGCAGCTGAATGAACGTGTGGCCTGACCTGCTGAACCCTCTTCAGTGGTCAGTTCTAGCAGAAGTGCGCAGTAAGTCAAGGACAGTGTTGGCTGTCCCCAGAGAGAAGGCTTGACTTGGGTACAGCCATGTCATTTTGTGATGCTTGGCTCCATGCCTCAAGTCGGCAGCTGCCATAAATAAACTGTGTTGAGAGCCACTGGCTTGCACCCAACCACGTCTAAACTGGAGGGGGGCAGAAAGACTACTAGACAGAATCTGACTCTGCACTGGAGGCAGTGGCCTTCTCCTTAACCCCATTCATTTAAGTGCTTAACCAAAATGGCTGAGCAATGCTCAGTACAAGCAAAAGGAAGAAAAAAAAACATAAACATAAGGAAATCCAAAAATGCTGTTCATCTATTCTATATTTCATAAAAGGCCCACTCTAACAAAACATAGAAATGCAAAGACCACAGTACACCATGTTTATAAATCTACTGCAATTCAAAATGTTTGAAAAGACAATGTCTTGTTTTACATTCTCATTCAACATAAAGAGGAACATATTTCTCTATGTAAACTGTCTTGGGCGCTATCTCAATCCCCAACACCCTTATCCAACCTATAATTACCTCACTTATTGAGAAAGACACACCCAGACCAAGCACAAACACACATGAGTGCTTCCTGCAACACTTTTCAGCAGAGAGGGATCTTCACACAGGAAAAGAATGTGAATGCACAGTCTGGATTGGATGTGATGCAATACAAAGACCACATACCATGACAAAACGGCAGGAAATTTCTACTGTTTCCTCACGGGCTCCATGCAAAAACATACAGCACAAACAGTGTTATCCGATTCACAAACAAATCACTCTTATGAGTAGGTTCTTCTTAGTGAATCAAAAACATAACCTAAGTAGTCTGATTCCTGAGTGTTTTTTTTTTTTAAGATAAACTAAATAACTGAATCCAGTTACTGAACTGAATTAACATCTGACTGAATTAATGAATTAGAAGTTATCATTATTTTCAGTGATGTCTGCATCGAAATAATCAAAAGCAATTTTTGTGTCAGAATTATTACTTATTGTCCTAACAACATGTTGGTAAGTATGCAGTAGTAAACTAGACACTACTGTTTAAAAGTTTGGGCTCAGTAAGATTTTTTATGTTTTTGAAAGTTTGTTATGCTCACCAAGGCAATTTGATCGAAAATACAGATTTGATCTGTATTTGAAATAGTTTTATAATTGTTTTCTATTTGAACATACATTAAAACGTATATTGTATGTATATCATCAGCATACTTATATTATATATTCTGTAGGAACTGCACTATGTTTTCTCATACACACTCATAGCCCAAAAGCTGTAGATGACATATTAAGTATTTATGAACACCCAAAAACACATCTGTGCACATATACACATATACACAGAGATCAGATGTAATCTGGCCACATCAGCTCAATAAGGTCTGAGAAATAAGTCACTTGTTCAAGCAAAGCAGAAAACAGATGGAGAAAAGATGAAGAGGTAAACAGCCATTGTGTGTTGCACAATGCAGAAAAAAACAAGCAGATGTGGGAGAAATCTTTGCTTTATTAGTTCTACCCATTTTTCCAAAGAAGACAAAAAAAAATACACCAAAATAAATATTTTGGACTTTTTCAAAAACCATTCAAAAAGGCATTGGAGATCATAATCAAATTCGAATTGGTCAGCAAAAATGCTGCTATATAAGTGTTGAGTGATACTCAAAGTGTTCAAACTACTGTTAACTTCATGCTGTGTATTACATGGTTGCATGATATAAATGCATGTGCAGCTTATTCATAATACACAAAAATATAAAAATGTTTTTATCCCTTTTTTGTCCTTTACATTTTAAGAAATAACATAAATGACTGCGAAATATGAAAACATGGCAATCCATGCAGGTTTATACAGAGCAAACCATTTATAAAGCTAATTTAAAAATGGAGAATGGCATATATTTTCAGTGAGTGCTATTCTAAGTGCTTATGTGGTTGCGTGCATGTGCTCTTTCAGCACAGAGTTGTCAATAAGGACATTAAGTGATGAATGCATTCTAGAAGTTTTCAAACTGACAATCAAAGTCTGTCATTCGGCACAAGATGTACTTCCACTGCCGATCCCTGCAAAGCATAAAAAAAAAACAGACTGTTATCTCCCACAAAAGGAAAACAATTTTTTTAGCCATTAACAGCAACTAAAACTATTACGTTAATGTATCCGTCTGTAATATAACAGATTGTTATTTTGACATAAATGCATTAGTGACAAAACCACTATGTGCAAAGGAAGAGGAAGTGCTCATACAGACCTCAGTACACCACTGAAAGTAGTTTGAGCACCCCTTATGAAGTAGCCGTAACTGGGGATTACCATCTCCCCCTCTTCTTTGTAGTACTCTGGAACATCACTCGTCTTCCTGTGTATAAATCATGAAAATTAATTTAAAGGAAAGGTTATAAGTTATGTGAAAAACATCCTATTGTACAGTTTTAATATAATTATCAGAGGACACATAATCCTAAAATCTATAACAGCGTATAACTTGTGATGTATAGAGGTTGTTTAGTAACTGTATGAGCATATTAGATCACCATTTTTTATTCCAAGACTCACCAGCAGGAATATGGGCACCTGCGGGCATATCGACAGCAGTAAAATTGCCATTCTCGATCCAGAACCGCTTCAAAGTACTTACTTTGCACACCAGCAACCAGCCCATTGTTAGTGCAAACTGAGGACCTGTAGACAGTACAAATATGGATTTTATATAGAGTGAAGAGGCTGAACAGCAGACACTTGTTATTTTTTAAATGAATATGAATCCTTCAAAACAAAGCTTTGGAATGTTTGTGTATTCCACGGTCTCACATGTGGCATATGGTTGTGTGAGGTGTGCCTGACTTTAGCTATTGACCTTTTTTTGTGTGCATCTTCCTGTTTATACTGAAGGGCTGACTAAAACTGCAAGAGGAACGTGTGCTTGACAAACATTCATGAACACAGCATTAGGTCTGTCCTTTTTGTCTGGCGCCATTAGTTCCATTTTGCCATTGAAGGGCTTTAATGAAGATCTTGAAATTAATCTTTTTGATTTTTCACAGGTTGTTACCAAATATCGGTGTCATTTGACTGCAGATATTCAGAAAAATAGCGGTGGGTGAGATATTGCTATTGAACAGCAGTTAAATAAGAAGTTAATATTGAGTAACTTCGATTTTAGACACACGTTATTTTGTCTGTTTTTACTTTGCTAATGACAATAGTTCCAAACAAAGCCACAGTAGTCCCTGTGCAACAGATTGTAGTGGGATTTTGCTTTCTGTTTGAATCATTGTTTTTGAATAATCGGTTGAGTGAATGATTCAATGACTCATTCATATAGACATTTGACTGGTTTGGTTCCAGAAAGAATCAGCATTGTTAAACAAAAAGATTGTGAAGTGAATGAATGATTCAGTGTGAAGTGAATGATTCAATGACTCGTTCATAAAGAAAGTTCAGTTGTTTCGTTCCTGAATAAATCAGCATTGTTGAATGAATTGGTTAAAGGGACAGTTCACCCAAAAATTAAAATTACCCCATGATTTACTCACCCTCAAGCCATCCTAGGTGTATATGACATTCTTCTTTCAGATAAATACAATCGGAGTTATATTAAATAATGTCCAGGATAATCCATGCTTTATAATGGGAGTGGATGCTTGCCCAAAATTTGAAGTCCAAAAAATTGCACCCATCAATTATAAAAGAGGTCCACACGGCTCCGGGGGCTTAATAAAGGCCTTCTCAAGTGAAGCAATGCGTTTGTGTAAGAAAAATATCCATATTTAAAACTTTATAAACTGTAATCTCTAGCTTCCGCTAACTGTCCTCCACACGTTCACGAGAGAGTGGCGTCCCAGTTTATGACTTTTTTTTTTTTGGAAAAAAGTTTTCATTTTTGGGTGAACTATCCCTTTAAGTGAATGTTTCATCGTCTCTTTCATAAAGACAATTCACTTGTTTCATTACTGAATGAATCAGTATTGTTGAATTAATTGGTTAAGTGAATGTTTCAATTACTCATTCATAAAGATAAATCACTTGTTTTATACCTGCATGAATCAGAAAGATTGAACAAACATCATTCAATGACTCACTCATAAAGACAGTCCCTTGCTGGCTTCTGTTGGTGAAATGATGTAAGCTGAAGGAATGCATGGAGTGATACAGTGAACATCCCAGTGCTATTGGGTTCCTGTATCAACACTCTTGGTATGCCACTCGTCCAATCAGATTTAAGGACTGGAACTAACTGTCATATATGCATAACCCACAATAGTTTTTATCATATTTAACCCATGTAATTAAATGTCCGCAGGTATGATAAACTTTGACTTTTGACCATAAATAGTAAAATGTTTGTTACAGCAGGAAAGAGTTTACCCGTCATGGCTAGTTTGCAAAACAAGTTTTTACATGTCATTGCAATAATTCTAAATTGCTTTAACAAGTCAATAATTATAAGACTGAGAAGTTGTTTTTCATATAAGTTTTTCTTAAGCCAGCAAATGTCAACTCTGAGGTGGCTGTGAGACGGGGAGTAGTTTTTAAGGTTTTCTGTAAATACAGGTTTATTTAGGGTTTCTGCTTGTTTATGGCCCATACAAACTGTTGTCATCACAACAGGGACACAAACATGAGTTCTGCACTGCTCCCAAGCCACCAGCAATGCCAGACTTTTGTCATAGCAACACTAATGCTATGGGCAGCTATTCCACCAATAGGAAGTAGGCCAGGGCCTTCTCCCAGTGGAATGTCATCTATGACGTAGTGCAAATCAGAGACACTGTTCTTATAATGTGAAGAGGGAAAAAGGAAGTAAGATCCTCTTAAAAAACAGCCATTGATATAGGTGGGGTATATATTCAAATTATGCAATCATGTAAACAACTGATTCTCCAACAAGGTGAATGTCTAAATGTAAAAGGCACATATGTCCGATATGGCATATATATATATATATTGGTAAACAGAACAGTTTAAGGAAACATATTTTTCAAATTGAAAATATATTTTGATTAAACCATGAAATGCCAAAATATTTATAAAAATTTTCGTCAGGGGGCAAGAAAATACATTTTGGATTTTGGGAAAATGCATTTTTGGTAACACTTTAGTATAGGGACCAATTCTCACTATTAACTAGATGCTTATTAGCATGCCTATTATTAACATATTGCCTGTTTATTAGTAATTATAAAGAACATATTCTGCATGACCATATTATACATCCCTAATCCTAACTACCTTACTAACTATTAATAAACAGCAAATTAGGAGTTTATGGAGGCAAAAGTTATAGTTAATGGTCTGTTAATAGCGAGAATTAGACCTTAAAATAAAGTGTGACCCATTTAAAAAAAAAAAACATGTTTATTAGTACGTATAACTCACATATTAATGTCCTATTCTGCATGATCATATTTCAGATCCCTTAATCCTACCCCATACCTAAACTTAACAACTACCTAACCATTAATAAGCAGCAAATAAGCGAATTTATTGAGGCAAAAGTAAGTTAATAGTAAGAATTGGTCCCCAAACTAAAGTGTGACCAAAAACTACACTCTAAAAAATGCTGGGTTAAATACAACCCAGTGCCAGAAGGTTGGGTTAAACATTTAACCCAACCGCTGGGTCAAAACAACCCAATTGCTGGGTTTGTCCCTATTTTACCCAGCACTGGGTTGTATTTAACCCAGCATTTTTTAGAGTGTATATGAAGAAATATAAGTAGCTAAAGCTTACTGAAAAAAAAAAAATAAATACATATATATATGTTATCAATATTAAAGGTGCTGTATGTAGGATTGACACCGAGTGGTTGAACTAGGTACTGCAGTCCAATTTCAAAATATTGGAGAGGCCCCTCCTCCTCAGACCTGACGCACAGGCAGGTTGCCAGATTGACGACACCAACAGGAACAAGCGCACTTGACGATGAATGAAATTAAATAAGCAGTGTTTTCTGCCAACTGGCAACCCGGGGTGCCGAAATACAATTGGGTAAACTGGCAGTGGGTGGGTTTCACAAACCAAAACAGAGACCGACAATCGGGCCCAGAACGCACATTTTCAAAGGAGAATAACTAACTGTAGCATTGTTTTTCAGATAAACAAGTAGCCTATGTTAACTTAGCATGTTTCTTAAATATCTGCAAACATATTATGGTATTTGTATGCTTTAGTATAGTCAAAAACTTACATACAGCACCTTTAAGGGGGAAGTCGTGTGCTCTGGGTGTGTGTTCACTGCTGTTTGTGTGCACTTGGATGGGTTAAATGCAGAGCACTAATTCTGAGTATGGGTCACATGTCACTTCACTTTAAGAATACATTTTTGGCCATTTTTTAATATTTTAAATCAGTCCACAAATTGTGAAACTGATCTAAAGAGCATAAGATGATTTCTTAATTGTAAGTTCCCAGCATGCAGTAAGACTGACAGACAGTATTCCCTCACAAAGCTCTAGTAGTGCGCAGCAGACAGGTCATTGGCACTGGCTCTAAAGAAATCTTACAGAGTGGGCAGTAGATCAGGGAAAACTATACTGAGTCCAATTAACCCACTGGAAAAACTCCCCCAATGCTGCTGGAGTGGGTGGAGAAACCTTGATGGAGCACTGAATGGCCCTTGGCGCTGTTGCTTATGCCCTCAGAGACTGATCGCAGCAACCAGACATTTCCTGTTCTAACAAGCTGGAGAATTAGTAAAATAAGGTCACTTTTGTCATGAGAATCACACAGATTGTAAGTCATCTTAAGGGTCTTGCAGGAAGATATGTCTTTCAAAGCATGATATGAAGAGCCTGAGCCAAATAAAAAATCACAGAAAGTTACAGGGACATTTGTGGTGTTACAACACACATCACATCATTAGAAAAAATGGAGGAAGGAAAGAAGGCAATCATCTCACTTTAAGACATTACGGTTATTGTAGAGGGGAAAATCATGAGAGTGCTATGAATCATTTTTCATGTCAGACCATTCTGGGCAAAACATTCACGTTCCTGTGGACAACCAGAGTCTAGATGCAGGAAAGACTATTTCATTGTCGAACACGAAAGTCGGTTTTGGATGAATAGCTCTTTTCATAATACTTATTGTTCCAAAGCAGCTTTGCAAAAAAATAGTGCCTTAGTAGTCTTGAGTGATCATGTCAATGTTGAGCATGACAAAGAAAGCAGCCAGTATAAAGTTTAAACCAGTGCACAGTATGCTTTTATTTATTGTAGCCACTGGTGTTTACCTTCAGTTTGAACTTTATGTTTTTATATCAAGGCAGCAGCAATTAATTATCAAAATATCCATTCATAGAGTGTCCTGACACTGCAGCACTGTGAGTATAGAATGAGCTTGTTATTCCAGGAAAAATTTAATCCTGAATGTGTTCAAAACAACAAAGCTTATACTGTTCAATGCAGTTCAAGCAAATCTCATAAACCTTTAACTGGTCAGATTTCAGTCTGAGAAGTTAGTCCTCGGGACTCTGTGTAAACCTGGCAAAAATGAGAGAATAGTGCATGCAGACATTTGATGTAATTAGTTGTAATTGACAGTCAGAAATGAATGTACTATGAGATACTGTTATGTTTGCAATATCCGCAATCTTATTTCAGTATGAATGTTACAGAGATGTGAAGCTTTATTGTACAGTTCTGTTTATAAAATAAGAATGTAAAAATTACTGTTTATCATCACAATGAATTTTAATAATGGCTGCATTCTGTGTACTAAATAATTTCGTCTAATTTGTGTTAATGCATTTTAATATGTTTTAGACTTTTTTGCCTTCTTTTCCACATTAGTTGGTCATTGGTTTATCTGGCTGTGACAAGTATCAGTAGGTGGTAAGCAGTGGTGTTATTAATGCCCCAGTTTTTGTGGGTGTGTGTGAAGAGTTTTTTAATTCTGGTTTTATGTTGCATGCAGAAATACATAAATAAATAATTCAATTCATATCTATTATAATAACTATAGATCATCTCAGAAATCTGTCGGATATTGGAACTGGAACTGAGATAGCATGTAACCAGGACCACATGACAGTTCATTAGAAGAGAAGAAATAATAACATGTCAGACCTACGTTCATGGGTCCAAGATGTTGTGCTGTAATTGGAATGAACACTGCAAACCTTGCAGTGCTTCAACAAGAAACCTTTTAACAAAGCCCAAAGTACAACATTCAATACAACATATAACACAACTTAAATTTGAAACGTTATAGTGCTGTTCTTAATAAGATGTCACAGAACTGAAGTGATTCACAAATGTGCAATCAAACATGTCTGAGGTACATTTGTGGAGGCTTGTTAAAGTTTCATTTTGGCAGTAAACAAGGCCCTTAAACTTAAGTGTTGCCATTATATCTCTTCTGTGGCTTGTGGCTTACTGAGAACAGCCGACCTGAGGCAAAGATTAAATGACACTTATGAAATCTGGATTGGCCCAAACATCTGCTTGTGTTTCTCCAGTCCTATTTAAGAAACTTTCATTGTTTTCCCCTTGACAAACAAATGATCATGATGTTGTCAAAGCAAGCACTCAACTCTGAAAGCTAGCATTAGCTAGTGCTTTCAGTAAACATTCACATCTGAGTCTAATCATACATGCAAGAGAGCTCTCCATTTTAGTTAGTGTAAACCCAGCATACAAACACCAAACCTTTTTTAGGAAAGCTCGTTAGAAAAATATTTGCAACACAAGGGATGTCTGTGTAACGTCAAAAATCATTTCCATATATCTGTCCAAAAAGATGATATTCCAAATCTGTCTTTCATTCATGTATGTGTATTCACTGGACAACTGAAACTGTGCAGAGTTATAAAATAAAAATTAATTAAATAAAAAATGACAAAAATAATCTGTTTGTTCTCTATGTATCTATATGTATTAAACACTTTTTAAAAAGAATATACGTTGATCAGGGAGTCATTTCATGGTCTTTTCTGCTACACTGAATGTTATCATACAAAATATATATTTTCCGCAACACAAGGGTATCACATTTGTATCACATTTGTGACCCTGGACCACAAAACCAGTCATAAGGGTCAATTTTTCGAAATTGAGATTTATACATCATATGAAAGCTGAATAAATAAGCTTTCCATTGATGCATGGTTTGTTATGATAGGACAATATTTGGTCGAGATACAACTATTTGAAAATCTGGAATCTGAGGGTGCAAAAAATTCAAAATATTGAGAAAATCACCTTTAAAGTTGTCCAAATTAAGTTCTTAGCAATGCATATTACCAATCAAAAATGAAGTTTTAATATATTTACAGTAGGAAATTTACAAAATATCTTCATGGAACATGATCTTTAGTTAATATCCTAATGATTTTTGGCATAAAAGAAAAATCAATAATTTCGACCTATACGTTTTTTTGGCTATTGCTACAAATACAAATACCCCAGCGACTTAAGACTGGTTTTGTGGACCCAGGGTCACATTTGTGGAGCTGCTTGCTGTGTAGTATCAAAAACTATTTCCAAATAACTCTCCAAAAATTAGAAATTCTTTATCTTTCATTCATTTATGTGTATTGACTAGACACTTGAAACTGCAAAGTCCTAAAATAGTAATTATGAAAAGATGCATTCTTGCCATGTTTGGCAAACATGAGAAAAATATTCAGTTTATTCCATCTATTATATACTTTCTATGTATAACACACTATCGAGTGGGACGTCAGGGTATCATTTCATGGTCCTTTCTGCAACAGTGAATGTTATCATATAAAACATACTTGCAAATGTGTTTTGTATTATAGAGAGACATAAAAAAAAATGCATATGACTATATGGACCTGTGTTTGACAGCACACTGTGACCCGCATACATACAGACATACCATTCCAGCCCGGCTCTGTTGATATCGTCCCACCAGCATTCGTTGGGCTCTCCCCAGTCATAGGGAGTCCTCTGGCACTCAAAGTTCCACAGGCGGTCCGAGCCCTCTTTCTCACTGAAGTAACTCCTGATTGCTACTAAGACCTCACCATGGGGACACTGAAAGTTGAAGCCCTTGCGCCAGTTATTCTCCCACTCCTCACCGGTATCATGCATGTAGCCGTGCTGAGCGCTGACTGTGGAGAAAACCATCAGCAGGCACAGAGCCTGCAGAACATGTGCTGAGCTCATCCTGAAGTCAAACTCTGTGGAACTTCTCAATGCTCCCTCCGTCTTAAAGGCTCTCTGGGATGTGTTGTCCAGATGTTCTGCGTCCGGATCCAGGGGTGATCATTTTCACCATAAGCAGATAGTTGCGGTCAGGGATTGAACTTTCTTGTATTGTTAAGGAGAATGTTTCCAGCCTCCTCCCAGACTGTGCCGTAGACCCTGAGCTAGATTTTTTTAAAGAGAAATCTCACTTTAAGGCCAAACTTTTATGTAAACAGAATGGGCTTATTTTCAATCTATCATTCATTGTGTTAAACAGTGTGATGGAATGAGGAACTTTCACAGGAAATAACATTTGGACTGAGAAAACGAGTTATTTTTAATGAAACACTGTAAAATGTGAATACAGCTAGTTGTTACTTGTTACCTCAAGTATTTCTAGCTGATCTGACTCTTAAGAATTATTTCCATTGGTAGGTTACAGCCGAATTTATTCAGATTAATATGTAGTCATGTTAAAGTATTTTAGCCAAAGTTCACCCAAAAATGAAAATTTGCTTAAAATTAACACCCTCAGGCCATCCAAGATGTAGATGCATTTGACTCTTCATTGGAACAGATTTAGAAATTTAGAAATTTTGCATTACTGACCAATGGATATATATATATATATATATATATATATATAATATAATATTATTATTATTAAATTATTCAACCACTTGACTTGCAATATATTTTGCTGCCGAGAACAAAATGTTATGAGAACAATTTAGCACAGGCATTTCTATTATAGAAAATGTATTAATACACATTTGAGTGATTCCGACAAAATAAAGTTGATGATAAATGAAAAAAAAAAATCAAATTGGCTCTAAACATTCATGTACAAAATTATTCAAGCCCCAAAAGTCACATTTTGTGCAGAATCCTTTATTCTTTACATCACCCAGAAACTTGTAAACTTATAAAACAATTTGTTCTCAGTAGCTTTTGTGAGAGCTCTCTAGTTTACGTTTTGCGATAATATAAACATTCACACAGTCTAGATTTGCTATATAGTCTATATTGATTTACGTGAGGTTATGTATGTACAGTATGTGTATAAAGTTAGATGTACTATATTTCTAAATTTAAATATATGGCTGGGTCGATAATATAGTTTACATTTTGCGGCAAGACAATCAAGCAATTCTGTTATGGGGTAAAACGGAGAACACACAGGAACCCCTTGAAAAACATGCAAACTCCACCCAGAAAGGTCTCATAGCCTTAAACCAGGGACCTTCTTACTGCGAGGCCACAGTGCTACCCACTAAGCCACTGCACCACCCACAAGGATATATCTCTGACCTCTTATGGAACTATTTCTACCTCATTTAACCGTTAAAATGACCCAGTTAATTTAGATGTTACCAAATGAAACATTTTTACACAATCATAAAAGTTAACCTATTTTTTTCGCCAAAATATTTAATAAACAACCTAATGGAGTAAGTCATATTAAATAGGTTGATTCGTAGATGTTAAATAACATTTGTGACTTAATTAAAATGTTATTTAACATCTCTGAATCAACCTATATAAATTAAGTTACATCAGCAAACCTAAATGGAAAGATTTTTGGGTTACCTAGCAAAACAAAGTATGTTAATATTAAATAGCAATAACCCTTCAGAAAGAGGAGTCCTTGTTATGACCTCTAACTCACAAGTTACTCAAGGTCACTAATGTCAGAGGAACATTGTGTTATGCATGTGTCTGTACTGATTACAGCATTTTCCTCTTAATCAGCTGCTGATTTATTCACTTAATCAGTTTCATTCCATTTCATCCTCCCCTTTACTTTCAAATCCGAATGTATTACTATGCGATATTTAGTAACAATAAAAACAGATAATTTAGTATGTCAGGCCACATCAGATGCTGTAAGCCTTTGATCCCCTACAACTTTATCTCAGTGATAAGCCTTAGGCACAGTCTTGTAAAACACAAACATTTATCTCTGGAGCTCAGATAACAATCAGTGTTTAGGGCTTCTGCAGGGTTCTTTGAATTATCATAGTGCTCTGTTTAAACATTAACTTGTCTTATCAATGATCGGATGCAAAGCAAACTTTGTACTAGCATAGCGACTAACGGAGCTACAAAGCCATAATGTGGCAAGTTGAGTCATTAAACATTTGAAGACCTAAGCCAAAGTCAAAGTCGATATATTTACATTGTACAGGAGGAAACATGGAGCAATTTAACAGTGTATAAATGGTTAAATGTCTCTATAGTATTTTCTATGTTCATTGTTTTTTTGTTTTTGTTTTTGTTTTTTACATTTTCAAAAATATTTTTATGAAATAATAAATAGTAAAATATGTTTATTTTGTTTTATTTTTTATTTTATTTTTATTTTGTTGATGATAATGATTTTCCCCCCCAAATTTCTGATTTCTAAATTGCCTTAAATGTCCACTTTTTGGCTGTGTTTTCCTACTGACATGCTCTCTACAGTCCTCTACAGACCATTCTCTGTAGATCCCACCTTCTCATACCCCACGATTGGTCGATTATGTACAATGCCTGCACGCTATTGGTCAAACTACTTTTCAGTCATTACCTTCAGCAAGTATGAAAACAATAGGAAAACAAAGGTCCTTATAATTGATATATTTACATTGTACAGGAGGAAACATGGAGCAATTTTCAAATAAACCATTGTGCAAACATGTAAGACTGCACCTAAAGCAGACATGTAACATAAAACAGTTCAGGAGAATGGCACAAGTTATTACAACAAATATTGACAGTATAAATATACTGTTGCAATATTGCATATCAGAACACAATATATACATGGTGGAAATGGGACACGGTGCAGAGAACCAGCTTTTATATTAAATTATATAGTTTACATTTTGTGATGATATAAACAGCTACATAGCCAAGATGTGCTTAATGGTAAACAGTATATCGCTTTAAAGTATATCACTTTATATAAAGAGCTGTGCAATATTGCATATCATAACAAAATATATATAGTTGAAATGGGACATGGTGCAGAGAACCAAATTATTATATTATATTATATTATATTATATTATATTATATTATATTATATTATATTATATTATATTATATTATATTATACAACGGAGAAATAATAACAGTGTATAAATGGTTAAATGTCTCTATAGTATTTTCTATGTTCATTGTTTTTTTGTTTTTGTTTTTGTTTTTTACATTTTCAAAAATATTTTTATGAAATAATAAATAGTAAAATATGTTTATTTTGTTTTATTTTTTATTTTATTTTTATTTTGTTGATGATAATGATTTTCCCCCCCAAATTTCTGATTTCTAAATTGCCTTAAATGTCCACTTTTTGGCTGTGTTTTCCTACTGACATGCTCTCTACAGTCCTCTACAGACCATTCTCTGTAGATCCCACCTTCTCATACCCCACGATTGGTCGATTATGTACAATGCCTGCACGCTATTGGTCAAACTACTTTTCAGTCATTACCTTCAGCAAGTATGAAAACAATAGGAAAACAAAGGTCCTTATAATTTGGGTCCTTATAATTTTAACTTCTATATCATCCATACTGATGTTTCCACTGACAGATGATGTAAACTCCCATCACATGCAACAGTCACTTTAAAAATAATAAAATTGTTGTAATTCAAAATGTCTTACAAGGCTGAACATCATAACCACAATGTCATTTGATGTGACTATGGCCAAACATGGGTATCGGCTATAAATATGTATAAGGGCATGAGTTCAAGCCTGGCAACTTCAAGAGGAAATTTATGAACTTTAAGAGTCCCTTGCTGCTACAGTAGATTTGATGTAAAGTATAATTCAAGTAACAAATAATAAGATAAAGTGTAGGGTCTCTCACTACAGCAAAATCTTCAGAAATAGCTCATAATCCTCTGAAACAAGATTATCAGGCTAGTTCCTATGTACTGATGCACTGAATGGAAATACAGGTGCATCTCAATAAATTAGTTCATTTATTTCAGTAATTCAACTCAAATTGTGAAACTCGTGTATTAAATAAATTCAGTGCACACAGACTGTTGAGTAAAAAGCAGCAATTTAAGAAATATAAAGAGAGGTCATTGGCTTTGAATAATTTTCCATGGATATTATATATAATAATTAGCACTGAGCACTCACTATAGAGTATATTGTTTATAAGTTAAATCCAACATTACATCCTAGTACTGTTTGTCAACATTAAATATGGTCACTTTTTTGTTAAAAAGTGTTTAATAATATTTTACAGTAGAAGTACTGTGTTGTTGCTGTTTGATATTTTATATACTTTTACATTTGTAAACTGTGATGATATTATCTTTATTTGAAAAGAACATAATTTTTTTACAATATATTACAGTAATATTTAACGTCTGTTACATATAGTATGCATTTTTACCCCATATACTAAGGTAACCTACATTTAACCATTTTTTGTGTTAGTATTAAAATAATTGTAAAAAAAATTACAGTGATATGTGGAGACATCTTGCGTGCAAAAAATAATATTAAAAAGCATTTCTCCACAGTTTGGATTATGTTTCACTTCAAATCTGTGTTGCAGAGATTAATTCTGTCTGTCACCATCTGGCACAGTGACTTTGATCTGTTTGGAGAAGCGCCACTCTCAAAGAAACAAATAATTATTAATGTTCAGAAATAGTGTGTGAGTCATCTTGTGGAGTTTCTTATCAGTTTAAATGGAGCAGATCACAGAGATGTGTATTTTTAGATTGATCATTCCATAAAAAGCACCTTTATTTGGGACAGTGGGATGCAAACTTGTGAGTATTCATTCATTGATTCTCTTCTGCTCTTTTGTCCTGTAGTTTTGCTGGGCACTTGTATGTAACTTATAGTTCAAAGCGTAATAAGCTGAAAGGTATTTAATAAAAACATTACACCGAATCCAAGCTCAACAATAACACCACCAACCATAATTTTTCCAGGCTGCTACACTAAAGGAAGCAAGATAGTTCACATCTGCTTTTTATTTGGGCATCACTGAAGCAACATGGCTATGAACTAATTTGCCCTCGTTTATATAGGCACAAAATGTTTTGTGTCAGAAAACAAATGTGTTTGAGAACTGTAAATCTGCTGGCAAGTGG